ATTCATTTGTCCTGAGAGACAGATGGGGGCCTGAGGACAGGATCATCAAAGATAACCCTCTCTTCCTCAGGGGTGACTCTAGCTATCATAGTTTCTGGGATTTTCCTGAGATAAAATTCTGAACATAAGGGAATTTACTCTAACTCTATGTTTTATGAAGAAATGATTTAAGTGAGAAATAGTGTCAGAATTTAAACTTCCATCACATACTCCTCTCACCATTCCCTATTTTATACCAGACTCAACCCATATTGCAATAATAGATAAGTAATTCAATTTTAAAATTGGCATGTTCACGCTGTTACCACTGAACAAGGACACAGCCTAGCAGTGAGGTAGTCTGGATAAGTGGGATGCTGGTCATGGTGTTTTCCATGGTTCACATTGGGGTAGGGTGGGGAGAGAGACAGACAGACAGACAGACACATAGAGAGACACACACAGAGACAGAGATACACAGAGACAGAGACACACAGAGAGAGACAGGGACACACACAGAGACAGAGACAGAGAGTGAGAGAGTGAAGAGTGAGAGACAGTCAGAGTGAGAAAGTGAGAGATAAAGAGAGACAGCGAGACAGAGAGAGAGAGAGACAAAGAAATAGACAGAGAGACACAGATAGAGACAGAGATAGAGTGAGAGAGAGAGAGAGAGACAGGCAGAGAGAGACAGAGAGAATGAGAATTCATTCTTGGATCCTTTCAATGGCATCCTATGCAGAAGGAGACCCACTGAGTCCACAAAGCAATCACTTGTGAGATTCAAGTACTTTCTAAGCACTGTTAGTTGGTACTGTTCCAAGATGGAGTGACACTAGTATCTTTTCTAGAAGAGTAAGAGCCCCACTGACGGCTCTCTCAGCCTTAGACCTCTCCATCCTGTCACCCACCACCTCCTTAAGGAGAAGGGTGAGCTCTTTAGCATCTATGTCCCTTAGAAATTCCTCTGAGATTAGAGTGGGAGGCCCATGCCCAGGGAGTCCCTTAGCCACTTGAGAAATAGTATACTCTTAAGAGATTAGGATGGAGCCACTTGATGGCTTTATTTGTAACACTCACAGCCCCTAGAGTTGAGCTTTATTGGGTGTTCTTTTGTTCTACTCAGGCCATTATGGAATTTCTGTGAGAAGAAACAAGGAGAGGGTCTTATCCAATTAAAAAGAAAAAAGGGAGAAGGCGCATATGTTTCCTAAAAATCAGGTTTACCTCCTACCTACAAAGGTGAGATTTCCTGATGATTATGGAGGCGGTTTTAAAAGCCAAACAAAAAACCAAAAAAAGTCAAACAAACACAGTGGAATCATGTGACTGATTCATGTGACCATATGGTGATTGATAAACCTGGCTAAATCCATGTTTATAGGTTTGTAGAATTGCTGTAAAGAAGGCTTTGGAGGAAGAGGTTGAGGAAAGGATAGGGCTTTGGCTCTGGGGTGGGACTCACTGCATCTGAGAAGCTTGCTCTGGGGGTCTCTGGTCCTTTGTCTTGCCTCTTCCCTCCTCTTCTTTGTCTCTGTTCAGTCCTCTGTGCCTCTCCCTTTGATGTTCTGTTTCTGTTTTATAACAGAAGCAAATATCACTCAGACTAGGGAACAAGAGGAGTCATTATGCTGTGGATATCTCAGAGCAAAAAGCAAAGGGCCCATTTTGAAATTTATGCATTGGATTTAGATCATAGCCTGGTTCCTCTCTGCCTGTCTCTGAACCTCTGGATGGGCCATGCATGTACCATGTACATTTCCTTTTTATTTTTATTTTTTTCAGAACCAGGGCTTGAACTCAGGTCCTTGGGCATGCCAGGCAAGTGCTTATTCAACTGAGCCGTCTCTCCGGCCCCAGTACATTTCCAATAGTCTCAGTCTCCTCCAACCAGGGAAGTAAGTGCAAGTCTCTGAGATCTGTATAGACATTTATATAGTCTGAAAAGAAAGTGGTGGGCAGTGAAATGGGATGCTTAGGGTAGAGAATTAATGGAGGAAAAGGAAAGGGAGGAGTTAGAGTAGGGTGCCTCTTCTTCTGCTGAGTTCAAGGCCCAGAGACAGACATGGGTCATTGACTGGATCTATGCCCAGCCCCTTCATCTCATTGCCACCCTGCCACAACCCTCCCAGGTGCAGGGTAGGAAGGCTGACAGCTTCTTTTATAAGCCTCAAATAATAAGGTGACAATTAGCCCTCAGTAGGTCAAGGGGGACTTTTATGGTGCTCTGTCTTTTGAAGTCCAGCAAAACTATTGTGTAGTCCCCTCAGAAGTGTCTGTTCTTCTAGAAGCACCTAAGTCCTCATTCTCCTTCAATTCTCATCTCCTGGATCTTACAACCAGACACCCTCCTCAGTCGGACTCTCCCTGATGGGCTTTGGCTTCTGGTTTAGTTTGGCGTCAGAGTCCCTCTAATTGCCAATAGATTGTATGTCTTTCTACAAATGACTTTCTTGGAGCTAGACCAGGACATGAGCTCTGGTGGTGGAGCAAGTCTTCAGAAGTTATATTGGCTATAACATTAAGTTGCTCTGGAAGCTTCAGATGGGTTCATGCACATTTAGATCTACCCAAATCTTGGGATTCTATTTAATATGTACGTAGGTATTCTCCTGGAGTTAACGGCTGAATATTCTAGCCAAACCTAAGTTTTTAGTACATGGAAACTGATGTTTTCTGTATCAAAATTAAAATCTCATTTTTATTGCTATGAATCCCTCCTGCTCATATATATTTAATCCATGTTCTAACCCTTACCATAGAGTGTTTTAACTCAAATCCCAAACTCAATTCTAACTCAGTTGTAACTAATCCTAAATCAATCTCAACCTAGCTTTTGATTTAGCCCTAGCTGCATTCCTAAACCTGTCTGTAAATGAAACAAAAATCCTATTCTTTATCATAATATCAACCCCAGGCATAAACCTTAGCCTCAGTTATAGCTATAGTTCTAACCCTAATACCAACCTACCTCTAATACCAACTTCAAATCTGATCTTTACCTCATTCATAATTTCAGCTAGCCCCAATCTTGACCTCAGATCCAGGCTTGCCTCCAACTCTAATGTTAGAATAAGCCCAGAATTCAGTTAACCCTTGCCCTGCACATCATTTTAATGAAACCATGGCAATAAGCCTTTCCTTTCCATTTTCCTCTGTCGAGTTCCATCAGTTTTCTCTTCTGCCCACCAGTGGCCTCCCATGCTTCCTTCTCACGAGTGCCTCTAGCTACCCACAGGGTCACCAAGTCCTTTTTATGGACCTCTCTAGGCTGAGGCAGGATGGCTGGCTGTCTACTTAGGCCCCAGCAACACCAACTGAATCAAGTCCCTATGTCTCTCCAGGCCTCTGTTTCCTCCTCTGTAAGGGATAATGATTCCTGTTCTCCAGAGGGAGCAGGACAATCCCATAAACCTTAAAATAAATAAGGAAATAAAGGTTATTCACTCTGTACAACTCTTGGGGCCCAAGGCACTCTGTTGTTGTTGGAATTTGGGGAGAGGGGTTTGGAATACGGAAACACATTGACTCCTAGAACTTCCTTATTCTTCTGTCTTATTTTTCTCAGAAGGGCGAGTCCTGGCAGCATCCTCCAGGCCTATAACTCTCCCTAAGACTCTTCCCCCTCTGCCCTTCATGAGCCCCATGTCAGGGGTGGGGGAGGGCCCTTGATCCCTTTGACAGAGTCAAGCAATTGAATGGGGCCCCTCCTCACCTGCCTCCTGTGGGCAGTCCTGGAGTCCAGGGGAGCCCCAAGTCTGTTCTGTACCCCTGGGGCAGATAACTAGGGCTACCTTCTACTTTCTCCTGCTGGCTGGGACCCTCCACAGAGCCCAGCTCTAGCCTGCCCAGAACTGTGCTGGCTTCCTCTGCCCAGTGAGGTTGGGGAGGGTTGTAAGGGTCTGCATTAATCCTCAAGCCACTCTTCCTGGGCATCAAAGCTGGGAAACCCAGTGATGCTTCAAGGAAGCACACAGAGACTCTTCGTAGAGGCGTGCCCTCCCTCCCACCTGTACACCCTCACTCAAGCACCTGTGCAGTAATCCACCTGGACATCCCCTCACCAGGGGAGTCCCCTCAACTCCCCATTGCTTCAGTCATGCCCTCTACACACTGTGGTCCCCCTTCTCTTAGGCCTCAGCAAACTGTTCTAGCTCTGTGCAGTTAGAGACCTGGGCCCCTATAACACCTGTGGCTCTCCAGGCTGTGCCCACTTGGCACAGGTGGAAGTGCAGCTAGGGGGGATCCTGCTCCTGTGTAAACTCCTTCCCTCCCTGTTTCAGCTGTGAGGCCCTGCTCCCTTTGAAGGGCCAGAGGCCTGGAGGGGAAGGCGGGCTGAGAATTCCTGGCTCCCTTTCATCTGCTGGGCCTGCCCTCCAGCTCAGGTCCCAGCATGGCAGAAAAGTCCACTTTTCTGGTGCACTTTCTCTCAGGCCTCCACCTGGAGGGGTCCCCCTCCAGAGGCTCAGGAACTGGGAGAGTGTGTCATGCTCAGGGTCCTGGACCGCTGTTAAACTTTTCCAGGCCTGGCCAGCCTTCTTCCCCAAGGTTGGCTTCTCCTTCCTTTTTCCCACTTCCCCCAGGGAAGGGGATAGCAAATGAGTGGTGAGGGGAGCTCTGTGGACGCTGTAAAATGGGGCAACTGTTGACACCCCAGGATGTGGCCAGGAGGAAGTAGATGTTTAACAGGTGCTTAATTACAAGTCCCCCTGGCCACTGTGCACTACTCTCAGGACAGGGAAGAGCTTGGGTGAAGGCTGGGTAATGCCTGGGTAGGCCATCCTGTCACCCCGCTAATTAGGGTTACTGGGGCTCCTCCCCAAGGCGGGGACCAGGCCCCCTCCCTCCCATAGAAATAACTCCGGCTGCTCCCCAGCTGGGCACTCACTGCACCTTCCTGCCACCCCGGGCAGTGTCTGGGCCCTCAGCTCCCCCTCCCTCCACCTGCCCCTTCCACCCACCACCACCACCACCACCACCACCACCACCACCACCGACCCACAGGAACCCAGCCCAGACGGAGCCGACACCGAGCCCAGAGACATGCGAGTCCGAGGAACATTCCATCTCCTGCTTGTGTGCCTGAGCCCAGGTATGGGGCTGGGCAGTGGGCAGGGAAAGGGGCAGCCAGGGCTCACTGAGCGCCTGCCTGTCCTCATGCCACCCTGGTTCTGATGCTGCCAAAGGGGGCTCTGCCCAGGACAGCCTGAACCCAAAAGTTTAGGGCAGGATCTTCCGGGCATCCGAGAGCCTGTGGGGCTCACACATGTGCAGGCACCCTGCATGCTGGGTCCATGCTGGGACCTGGAGGATAAGGCTTGCTCAGTTATGTGTGGGAGCTGGAGGTGGGGTAGGAGTCAGGTGAGCAGCGGCCCTGGGTGGGGGCTGAGGAGGAGCCTGAGAAGGATCAGTTTCCATCAAGACAGTCTCTTGTCATTGAGTGGGAGGAGCTGCTTTCAAGGCCAAAGTTCTGCTCAGGGCAGAGGAGTTTTGTGTTACGAGAGGCTACGTCTTGGTGGGCTGTTTCCATCATGAAAGATGACAGCTTAGGCCTGACACCTCCATGCTGGGTTTCCTGTGCTTTGAGATTCCCCTCCAGGATGAGGCCAGAGGAAGAAGGGGACAAAAGGTATTTCCCTGGGCCTCCTCATCCTGCTGGGGTACTCCTGGAGGGCAGGACTTAGGTTTGGATATTGTGGCACCCTGCCCAGGCCAAGCAAGTCCCAGCAAGGGCCATTCTGTTTGTGTATCATTGAAATAGCTCTATGTTGCTCCTGGGGTCTGGATTTGGGATGAAGGGGTATCAGGAAGGAATGTGGGAAGGGGACTGTGTTAGCCTGTGTGTGTGTGTGTGTGTGCGCACGTGTGTATACGCACACGCATGTGCGTGGCTGTTGGCATTTCTGGCAGGATGCCTGTAACACTCATGTCTTGTGAGTTTGGCTGGCAGAGCCCACCCAGGGCACTTGGCTAAGCTCTGGGGAGCTGGGACATCTTCATGTTCTGTGTGGACACATGCAGCTGTTCAGCTGCTTTTTCTATCTTCCTTTCTCCTTGCTCACCTTCCTGTCTGGAAGCTGCCTGAAAATTCAGAGGATTTATAGTTGAAAGTAGCTACTACTACTACTGAAGGGACACTCCCTTGACAGTGCCAGCCCCTAGTGATTTTGTGGGGGAGACAATGGCCACTGTCTTTCATGGGGAACAGCAGGTGATCCCCTATTCTTAGCAGCTAGCTCTCTTCCAAGGTGACTTTATTCTTTTCTCCAGTCTCCCTCTTCCCTCATGCTCCATGCCTCCAGAAAGTGCCTCCTCAGTGTCACAGCAAGAGAAAGCATGGTGACACAATAGGAACAACTTCCCAACAAGAGGGAGGAGGTGCAAAAGGCTGGAACCCTTGGGAGGAGGCTGAGAAAGCTTCTGAGAATGAGAAGATGGGGTGAGGCTAGGACAATTGAAGAAAGGCACTCAGAGTAGGGTGGAGGCATAGCCTGTTCCTCCTTCCCGAGCCCCTTTTTCTGAATCCTCCCGCTCCTGCCTGCCTGGCCTCCACGGTGTGGGAAGCATCCTCCCTGTTGCCAGCTGCTTTCAGTGGCTCTGCCCCGGGGTGGGGCCTCTGCTCTCACCTGAGTTCTGGCTCGTCCTCAGCTTCCCAGGTACTGCAGCAGGATCTGGCAGATAGCATCAGGATCCTTATCTCAGGAATGAGCTGGTTTTCTTTTGGCCTGGGGCAGGAGGAGGCTTCACCAGGTCCCGTTAGCACCTCTGCCGCTGCCAGCAGCCAGCCAGCTGAATCTGGGCCTCTGCAGTCTAGCCGGGTTAGGGCATGGCAGATGGCCCAACCAGGGCCCCAAAGGACAAGTTCAAGTCCCTGAGAAGCAAGAAGAGCCCTTGTTTGCCTCTCTGGAGCCAGGCTACACCTGGCAGGTAGGGCTTCTGCAAATATGTCTGGTCTTGACGAACGAACCTGAAACCATAGGAGCATGCAGTGGGTGTGTCTCTGGATTCACACATCCTGTGCTTGCCTGCAAATGCGAATCTGTGTTGGTATAGACCTGTCAGTGCTTCTGTGTGTGACAAGGAGGCCTGCACAGGAATACATCTGTATTTGGAAGGTTTGAAAGACTATGTCTATGTGTCAATTTGCCTTGCCCGGGAAGCTGAAATAGTGTATGTGAGATGCCCTGAGGTGTGCAGTGTCCCAAGCCAAACAGGACGATTGCTAAGACTTGGGGCTGGGACTCACAGGCCATGCTGACTTAAAAGGTCTGGGGATGGAAAGCTAGCCAGCAGGGTGAGGGGTCTGAGGAGGGAGTAGTGTTGCCAGAGACCTGAAGTAGGGCACTGAGCACCCAGGGTGGGTCCCTGGGCACAGCCCCCTCTTATCCCTCTCTAGGTCTAACTGGTTTGTTTGGGCTAGTGACTGCCTGGGGCTCTGGGATGGGGAGGGAGAGGAGCTCAATCCTGAGCTTCTGGCTCCTGGCTCCTAACCCTAGCTGCTTGCCTCTGACTCAGTGGCAGGAGGAGCCCCAGTGCAGAAGCAGCTGTACTGAGCCACAAGGGAAAGGACGCAGTCTGCAGCAGCAGCACAGGCCATCACGTCAGGCTTGCCCTGCAGAGGCACGCTGCCATGGTCCCAGGCATACATCATCACTACGGCACCTGAGCACAGGCAGGTCCAGGTCACACCTCCTGCTGTCAAGCAGGGCACACAATGTCACCGAGAGCACTCACACAGTCAGCACACATTGTCACACAGTCATACCCAAAGGTCCACAGATGCATACAATCATACCCGGACACACACAGACAGACACATCCAGTCTATTGCTTCTCAGGCTCGAAACAGACCCAGAAATCCCTATATCTATCCTTCTGCTTTTGGCCACGAGCACCTCACTTGGCCCAGACAGGCCCAGGCACAGCCCAGACAGGTGGCTTTTAATCCCTAAGCCTCCTCCATCAGAACACTTAATACCTCTGGGTATCCCACATGCCTACACATAAACACAAATATAGACATATAAAAGATCACCCACACCGTCACATAAATATATAAGCAGATACCCCACACAGTCATGTGCATGAATATTCTTGGAGCTGCAAATGCTCATAAGCATACAATGTACATATGGGTATATAGTTTACACTGAAGCATGTATGCATACCTGTGAACATAACAGCTATGTGTATTTAACCAATATTCAGAGGCATACCCACACAGTCACAGAACATATACATGACTGTGATCATGCAAGACACTGCCCCATGAATAAGTGAGAAACACAAGTATGCACAGACATGCTCATACCTACACACACACACACACACACACACACAACCACTTGCGTGCTTATGCAAGCATCTCCCCCACACCCCATGGAAGCCCCACTGAGCCCTGGACAGCTGCAACAGAACAGTAGAGGCAGAGGCTGAAGCTGACTGTTGAACCTCTGGCCCTCACCCCTCACCCCACCTGCTTTGCCTTCCCCAGCACTGCTGTCTGCTGTACGGATCAACGGGGATGGCCAGGAAGTCCTATATCTGGCAGAAGGTGACAATGTGAGGCTGGGCTGCCCTTACATCTTGGACCCTGAGGACTATGGTCCCAATGGGCTGGACATTGAGTGGATGCAGGTCAACTCAGACCCCTCGTCTAGAGAGAATGTGGTGAGTGCTGGCCACAGGATTCACTTTACTTTGTACTTCATTGGGCAGCCAGCATCCTGAGAAGAAAAGGAGGGCAAGAAACAAAACCAGGACCTGGGAATTCCCAATGCCTCTCAGGGAAGTGGGATAATTGTGCAGCTGGGAATCTAGCCAGGCATTCAGTCTATCTCCTCTTAACCCATTCCAACGGGCAGGCCAGGTACTGCTGCTGCCCTCAAGTTCCTGTCCTGTCCTGATGCTTTCCAAAGTGCTTGCCCTCATCAGACTTCACTCATTGCATCATCATCCTCATTTTCAAAAAAAGGAGTCTCAGGGGAATTAAATGAATTGCCCAGAGCCACCAAGCCACATGGCCCCCTTGGTTCTACCTTTCTCACTACCTGTTTTCCTCTTCTTCACAGTTCCTTAGTTATCAGGACAAGAGGATCAACCACGGCAACCTCCCCCATTTGCAGCAGAGGGTCCGCTTTGCGGCTGCAGACCCCAGCCAGTATGATGCCTCCATCAACCTCATGAACCTACAGGTATCTGACACAGCCACCTATGAATGTCGGGTGAAGAAGACCACCATGGCCACCCGGAAGGTCATTGTTACTGTCCAAGGTATGGCCAGACTCCTCTAGCATCTCCTTCTCCAAGCTTTGGGGCCGAGGGCCACCTAGCCTCTGTGAGCCTGCTTCTGCCTCACAGCAGTCCTGGTTCACGACCACCTGCCTCCCTGCAGCACGCCCCGCAGTACCCATGTGCTGGAGTGAAGGCCACATGACGAAGGGCAACGATGTGGTGCTCAAGTGCTTTGCCAACGGGGGCTCCCAGCCACTGTCTTACAAGTGGGCCAAGATCAGCGGGCACATCCACCCCTACCGAGCAGGGTCCTACCACTCTCAGCACAGCTATCACTCTGAGCTCTCCTACCATGAGTCCTTCCATGGCTCCATAAACCAAGGTGAGCGGTCTAGTGGGGGCAGTGTGCAGAGGACTTTGGGACCTTGTGGGGTTTTCCTAGCTTCTCAGTGGCACCCAGTCCAACCTGGAAGAGCTAGAGGGCTCCTTCTCTGGGCGTGCTCCAGCAGCTCCTGTTGAGGGGAGCAGAGGAGGCAGAACTGGGGAGTCAGCCAAAAGCAGTGTGGTAATCTGAAAAGAGCTCAACTTGAGATGAAGCTGGGCTAGGTCCTGGCTGGGACAAAGGCTAGTAGCTACAATCCACAAGCCAGAGGCTTACCCTCTCTGTGCTTGGCTTCTTAACCCATAAGGGAATCCCAGCATCTCCCTTTCAGGGACTTGTAAGGCCTAAATGGAATGAGGGGTGTGATGCTCCTAGCACATAACCACAAAAAGACGAAGTGCGCTAGAAGGGACCTTACAGTCCCTCTGCTCTAACCCTGTTCTCACTGTACCAGTAAGGAGGCTCAGGGAGGGAATGTATTTTTCCCTATGGTCACAGAGAGAATTTCTGGGAGAGGGGTGCTTCCCTGCTCCCCATCTCAGTAGGGTTAGAGTCTAAGCAGGGGGAGGGAATTTAGCGCAAGGGAACCTCTGTGTGTGTGTGTGTGTGTCCCATTCCCCACACCACAGGCATGGAGGCTTAGGTGGGGCCTTTCAGAGACTAAGCCTCTCTCTCACTATACCTGATGCTTTTCTAATTTCAGGTCTCAGCAATGGCGACCTCGTGTTGAAGGACATCTCTAGTGCAGACAACGGGCTGTATCAGTGCACAGTGGCCAATCACGTAGGCTACAGTGTCTGCGTGGTGGAGGTGAAGGTGTCAGGTAGGTGCATTGGTCCTGAGGCACCTTTGCTGGGAGGGCTGGGGTGCAGGGTGGGGGTGGGGGAACCTGAGCTCTGCCTTGGAGCTGGACGCTCTGGGAGAAGCAGTGGGCACATCCACTTCATGTGCATTTCCCACACCTTCCTTCCTGGCTGTCCCAGAACCGGAGACCCCCGGCGTTCCTGTCCCTCTTTCCCACAGACCCCTGCTGTGGCACCTCCTGGTCAGTCGGGCACTTGCCAGGGGGTGAGATGCCTGACCCTCTTCCACCTCTCTCCACAGACTCCAAGCGTGTGGGCATGATCATCGGCGCCGTGCTGGGCTCTTTGCTCATGCTGGCCTGCCTGGCCTTGGGCATCTGGGGGCTCGTCGTCTGCTGCTGCGGGGGCCCCGGGTCTGGCGGCACCCGCGGTGCTTTCGGCTACGGCGTCGGCGGCGGGGTCGGCGGCGGGGCCTGCGGCGGCGACTTGGCTAGCGAGATCAGGTAAAACCTGATGCATGCTGCTCGCTGCTGCGCGGCAGGGGGCCAGACCTGCCCTTCTCCCCCCTGGCTGCCACCGGCCGGCTTGGACCCCCACCCCAAACCTGCCCGCCATCGCCACGGAGTGCTGGGACCTCAGCATGTCGACCTGCCACTTGCCGCATGGCTTTTCTGTCCCCTTCCCCTGTCTCCACCTTGGCTCCCTGCTCTCCATCCCCTCCAGTCTTCCATCTGTCTGTCTGTCTGTCTGTCTGTCTTCCTAGACTGTAAGCTCCTGGAGGGCAGGACCTGTGTCTCCCCCCCCCCCCCCATTTCCCTTGTATCGCGCCGGTGAGAACTTTGACCTGCTATTTAAGAAGTTAATAGTAAGAATAGTGCCAACAACTTATTAGAAACTAGAAATAAAAACAGAACAAGACTAGGAGTGCTAATGATTGCAATGCCTTGGGGATGGAGGGAAAGACCGAGCCGTGAGGGGCAGGCAGTGAGGGGAGACCGCGAGCTAGGCCCAAGGTCAGGGTTAGTGAAGGAATAAAAGAAGGAAAGGAAAGCAGCCCCGTGCCGAGGGCTTCCTCCTGCAGAGGCGGCATCTCCGCCAAACCTCAGGAAAGGTGGAGGGCGCCGGGAAGGGGCTGCTCGCGGCGCGCGGTCCAGACACTCGTGGACACGCCGCGCCTGGAAGATGGGATCGGTGACCGCCCTCCTGCGGGGTCCCTGCAGGGTCGCCAGTCAGGAAGGTGCTGAGGGGAGAGTAGGTGCAGTCGAGGGAGAGAGACGAGGGTAGGTAGAGGAGGGAGGCGCGGGAGACAGGTTGCCACGAGCCTCCAGCTCTGACCAGGCCTTGCCCACGCCGCGCCGCGGAGGAGCCGCTCACCCACCCGCCTGTTGTTTTCCAGAGAGGACGCCTTGGCGCCCGGGTGCAAGGCCAGCGGGCGCGGCACCCGCGTCACCCAGCTCCTGGGGTACCCGACTCAGAACGTCAGCCGCTCCCTGCGCCGCAAGTACGCGCCCCCGCCCTGCGGCGGCCCAGAGGACGTGGCCCTAGCGCCCCGCACAGCCGCCTGCGAAGCGGGCCCCTCCCCGGTCTACGTCCAGGTCAAGAGCTCCGTGCCCGCCGAGGGCGCCGAGGGGCTGCAGCAGTGCAAAGACGGGCTTTTGGTGTGAGCGCGCCGGGCTGCGCCCCGGCCGGGTCTGGACCCGGGGCTCTCCGCCCTCAGCCGGGAACGCGTTCGGGCCTGCGCACTTCGCTCTCTCCCCCCAGGCTGGTTGGCGTCTGGGGTTCCGGAAGGGCAGCTGAGGGATTCCCCTAGGGGAAAAGAGTAGGGAAGCACGGCCTCCTCCCCCAGAACGGGAGGGGGCCAGGAGGGATGGAGGAAGGCCGCCCCGAGTTGGCCTGCACCCCCAGACTCCAGGGCTCGGGTGCGGGGCGGGGAGGAGGAGCGCAGTCTGTGTGAGAGAGCGGCCCAGGCGCAGGCCAGGCGTCCCCAGTCCAAGCGGAGGGTCCCGGCCCGGTAGGTGGGGTTCTGGACTGAATTGTTTGCTGTGTTAGGTCTGAGCTCCAGGCAACAGTGTTAGCACAATAAAGAAACTTTAAGATTTGAGCCTCAGGTGGCCGTCTTTTGTTCCACTAGGGGGAACTGGGGCTGGGCTAGGTGGACCCCGGCCGTGGGTGGGGGAAGTTGTTCCTTGCTGCCCCGCCTCACAGGCGTGCCTCTCTCCTCTTCCTCTTCTTACAGGGAAAGGCAGAGCTGGAAGGAGCCATCTATCTTTCTCCATAATACAGATGGGGAAACTGAGGCCCAGGGCTGAACTTTAAATCCAGAACCCTACCTTTCATTTTCATTCTAGGATGTCAGAAGGGAAAGCAGGGAACTGCCGGAGGTGACCGTTCTCGGTATCCTCCTCTGTCCTCCAGCGTACCTAGTGTCGACTTTCTCTCTCTCAGATATGTGCTTTCCTTTGAAACTGTCAGGAAGGAGTCCAGAACCACAGTCACACTTGATGGGCAGAGAGACCATGGAACCTGTGAAGGCCATGTAACCTAGCCCTCTTCTTGACTGGTAAAGGATCGAGTTTTCTGAGCAATCTTGAAACATCTAGTGTTATTAGATATTTTACTTTATTTATCCTTTACTTTAGTCCTGCAAGGTTGTGCATTATCCCCATTATACAAAAGATGCTCAGGGGGATTAGATATTTCCACCAAGGCAGCAAAGGTAGTAATTCAGGTTCTGGTCCAGGAATATTTGACTCTAGGACATCAGGCCGTTTCTCTGACACTTGAATTCTGGACAAAGGATAGCCCAATCTCTTCAGCTTACCACCTCTCAAAGCAGACTGTTGTTTAGCAGAATGCTGCTTTTTATAGAATTCACATAGCTTTTATCCCATAGTCCAAGTTCTACTGTTAGGGAGTCCACAGCATCATATTTCCAATTTGGCTGCATCTAGAGCCAAGTATTTGTCCTTTCTATATTGGGCAGTGGTATCAGTCACACAACTAACTAGATTTATGTGTGGTGTGGAGATAGGGATCTTCAGAAATGTGTAGTACTTTAAGATCACCTAGTTGTACCTGCTCTTCTCCAGCGACCTGCTTGTTTGAGAGTCCAGATTCTTCTCCTGTTGTCTCTTTTCTTTGGGGAGAAGCTGGTTTACTTAATTCTTTTTGCTTCTACTCTAGGGCCACATGAAATGAGATATGCATGGGCCTCAGAGCATCTGAGTTTAGGAAGCCCTGTAGTCCTGCCTGGTAATGTAGAACTAGGAAACCCTTCAGTTGGCTTGGGTGCTACACAGGGGCAGTGGCCCTTCGGGTCTGCCTTATTCAAGGGCCAGGGAGGAAAATAAGAGATAATGATAAGACCAAGGGAACTGGGGCCAGCTGAACTGGGACAGGGAGGTGGAAGGATCTAGAGGATTGGGCAAGGGTATAGAGGGAAAGAAACTAGGGAGGGGAGCAGAAAATGCCAAGAGCCAGCTGTTATTTACTTGACCACTTTTATGAGCACCTCTCATGTGACTTATTCACAGGTAGAGCTAGCTTTCAGCAGGGCCTGCGCCTGGCACACACTTTTGCCCTAAGGAAGGGGATGGACTGGGTGGAGTTGGGGAGGGTGCTCTCTGTTGGGGGAGCCTGAAGCTCAGCCTGTTGCAAGGTGATGAGGGCCAGAGGCAGCTAGCTGGCTTTGCTGTTCTGGGAACAGGGAGCTGTGCTAGCCTTAGCTTTCACTTGAGAAGAGTGGTAGGAGGACAGTAGCCTCTCCAGAAAATCCCCCTAGAAACAGCAAGAGCGACTGCAGAGAGATTCTGGAAACAACTTCCAACTAGGGTGACTCAACCAGGAAGGCAGGAAAGTTCCTAAACCTTAGGTGGAGATCGCAGCCCTTTGTGTGCTCAGTGTCCCTGAGTGTGAGGGTAGGGGAGTTTCCATTCCATTCTCATTCATTTCTCCCACATAAAGCCTTTGCTCATTGTTGGAGAAGAGCACTTGTGATGATGCGTGTTGAGGAGCAGCTTCGGGGAGTGGGAGAGGGATGGTCAGCGAAGACCTGACTCACAGCATCTCTGTGAATATTCCTGCTTGGGCTGGGTTTAAGCCGTCAATGGGACGCTGTTGGTGTGGGCAAATGTTTAGTAGTACACCACTGTGTGGTATTTCCTCAAATGAGATACACCAGAGGTAAGTAACCTTGAGAGTTTCAGTGATAGGGAGCTATCGTATAATAATCAGGAAGTGAGTAGTGTCCAGTGCCTTTTTGTTTTAGTTGTAATTTAATTTGTTTACTTGTAAGCTTATGAAATTCACTTTTAAACAATGGCTCCACTGAACAGCTGCTTTGCAAAATGTAGGTGGGCCAGGCCACCAAGTGTGTTAGTCAACACAGCATCACTGTAACCGCATACCTGAGGTAATGGACTTCAAAAGAAGAAAGGTTTATTTTGGCTCACGGTTTCAGAGGTTTCAGTCTATGGTTGCTTGGCTCAGTTGCCTTTGGGCCTGTGGCCATCTAGCACCATGTGGCAAAAGCACAGGGCTGAGATCTTTCTGCACAGCAACAGAAGGCAGATAAATGCAGAGGGGGTGGGGCCTCCACTGTCACCTTCTAAGACATCCCCCCCAGTGGCCTACCTTATACTAGTCCTACCCTTTAAAGGGTTCACCGTCTCCCTGTGGCTCATAGGCTGAGAACCAAGCCTCTACCCCTTGGACCTTTATGGCATGCTTAGCCCAGGCAACGAGAAGCCTGGGTACAAGTGAAGAGTGAGAGTGGAAATGTTCACTTTCGGAGGCTGAGACAGGATGATCTCAAGCTCAGGTGGGGCAACTTAGCAAGACCTTGTTTCAAATAAAGAGGGTTTAGAATGTATCTTAGGACAAAGACCCTGGGTTTAACCCTTAGTGCACATGCATGTGTGCGTGCACGTGCATGCGCGCTCACATACACACACACATGTGGGGAGCATTTCAAGACAGTCTTGATGTCTGTTTCTTCATAGAGAAACAGAAAGCAGAAGTGAGTTCCTGTTCTCACATCTTGCACTTCTCTTCAGTCCTACCAGGACTCAACGGCCCAAGGCTATCTTGTCCAGTCCCCGTCAGCAGCCCTCAAGCTTCTCCAGATTTCCCAGGGCAGCCACTGTGTCCACCCCACATCCTTTCAGTGCGTTCTTCCTGTCTAAGTGCAGTGGGACTGGCCTGGCTTCCATGCCCCAGATGCCGTGGTTGCATGCTTTCAGTTCCTCTGGCCCCTGAAAACATTGTTTAGATAATTTACAGCTCCTTGGAAACCGAGGCCACTCTTGAATGTCATCAGAAGTCTAACTTGGCATCTGCAGGATTTTTCATGAGTTTGCTTACTGGGGAGACCAAGCTTTGGGAAATGTACTCTAGATACATCTCTGAGCCCTTATTGATACAAATGCTTGTCTTCTTCTTCTTCTTCTTCTTCTTCTTCTTCTTCTTCTTCTTCTTCTTCTTCTTCTTCTTCTTCTTCTTCTTCCTCCTCCTCCTCCTCCTCC